GTGTAACCCCAATGAATACGGGAACCAGTATACAGAGAGCCCTCTTCCATTAAAGTAATAATTTAACTGTTTTTCTCATTAAGAGTGACCACCACCAAGGTCCCATGGACCTATACCCACATTCCTTACTTACTTGTCAAATCTCTAGCGCATCGATAAGAACTCTATTCAATTTCCATCGTTTATTAATTCGAATTTTATGTTTAATCCGACCTCTACGACTGGCTCTTTTTAGGTAATAATTAATGTTTAACTTTTAGTTTAATTAAAAGTATTTTTATGTTATTATTAAACATCCAATGGTATAGATGTATAATATACTGTACTGTGTTTTAGTTGTACAGTTAATAGCCCTTTGCTTAGGCCAAAGGCCAAGCGAAGGAATGTTGAAGGACGTTTTAGGCAAAGCACAGTTATTTTGTGCATAGGCTACTGTATGCATTGGGATAGTGACCCAGGCTGTTCGAATATAGTGAATAGTTGTATTGAGATTTATACATTTTATAATTCTATTGCTTTTAATTGTTATATCCATGATGAACTATCGTCCTATTTTGATATTTTAATATTATTACTATCGTTTTAATAATTGTAAGCCTATATGATTATCACTTCGAAAAATATCTTTACCATGAGATAAGCTAAATAAATACTCTGATTAATAAAGGGATCAATTTTATTATGATGTCTTGTATCACGCTATGCTGATAACCAATGTTGAATTTTTAAGTTTAATTATAATTCTATTTTCTATATGGTTTAATTAACTTATCGCTAAACTTTAAAGCCGTATTCGTAATTATTAGTATTAGTATTTTAGCTGTTATTACTGTATTATTATTATTATTATTATTATTATTATTATTATTATTATTATTATTATTATTATTAGCTATTTTTCTATTATACCACTAGACATGTTATTTTATAAAACTAAATTTATTTACTCTGGTATGATTGATATTCCTCAATCAACTAATACATAATTCAGGGTGATACCTACGTTTGCAATTAGGGCCTATATAGCGCTTTTATAGTGTCGCATTCGCCGGGCCGGTTGAATGGATTTATGACGTCACGGTATCTTGTAATACAGTAGTACCGTATGCTGTGATAGGACTTATTTAACTTAAAATGTTTATACAGTAAATATAAGAAAGCAAACATTTAATTATACGAATATTCCAAGGAATATTCAGGCTATGTAAAGTATATTGAAGTGACGGAACATTAGCGTGTTTCAATATATTTAAGTAAGATATTCACTTAATTACTATTACTATAGCATTTTTATTAATTTGTGTTATGATTTTATGATTTTGAAACGATTTTAAATATGAATAGATTCATATTATGTTCACCCGTTAATTTTGATTGTACCATGAATTGGAATACAATATTGTTAATGTATTATTTTGTGCTACGTGTTATACATGCATATATTCTCTTTTTAGATTTCTAGAATAACGATTGAATAAACTTCCGGATTGATTACGGATGATTTTATGATTTTGAAACGATTTTAAATATGAATAGATTCATATTATGTTCACCCGTTAATTTTGATTGTATCATGAATTGGAATACAATATTGTTAATGTATTATTTTGTGCTACGACGTGTTATACATGCATATATTCTCTTTTTAGATTTCTAGAATGACGATTGAATAAACTTCCGGAGTAAATATAAATTCATTTGGAGACCATTTATTCATTTGATTGAACAAGAAGGGCTACAAATTGGGGGCTCGTCCGGAAACTACCAATCGTCAATTGTGATTAGTGGAATTCCAGAAAGAGAGCCAGTGTACGAGGATGCCAGATTATCAAACTTATGGGATAGAATGGTGCGAGGAAGAAAAATATCCTGTGGAGCGGAGCGTATTGATGGTAAGCAGGAAGTCCAAAATAGATACCGCAAGGATATATAAGTGTTTATGTGGTGCTCTTCCAGTCGAAAAAATAGAAAGAAGAGAAGAGGTTGATGTGCATGGTTGGCAGAAGACAATTGTGCTGAAGGGCTATATATATATATATATATATATATATATATATATATTGCCAAAAGAACGATTGAACAGCAGACAGCTAATAATTTTCAAAAACAACACAACAGATCGTATCTTCATCATAGGCAAAGCTTATATTTAATCCAATATATTATGGCCTTAACGGCCCCAACATGACATGTTTCGGCAGTCTACTACCATGTCAGTTATCTTATTGCACGCAGGCAATCATTAGTATAGGGAGAAAAAAAATCAATGTTTTGCATGCTAAAAAATTGTGGAATGAACTGTAACAATACTACAAAGCAAAATATAAATAAAGATGAGGTAAAATCAGTGTACAGTACCTATGCCACAAAGGGGAGAATGGAACGAATTTAGAATGACAAAGATAAATTAACATGAAGAAGCTGTTTGTTCAGTGAGGGCTGCTCCCACTGAATATGCAAGGCTTATTGATTTTTAGAATTTGGGTTGAGAGGCGGAGTCCAGTATAGTGAAGCAGTCCTCATTGGCTGATTGTTTACAATGACGTGAACTCTTCAAATGCTTTAATATTTTATGCGAGTTCCCATCCAGTGCTAGGTGCTCACGCATGCGTGTGGAGAAATGTCGGCTTGTTTCGCCAACGTAACAAGCATTACAGCCTACATATACAAATTTGTAATGAGGTCTGAACGGAGACCACGCGAACGGAGACCAACTGGGATGGGATCTTTAGCTGAAAACAAATTTTTAATTTTGAATGAGGAAAAGACAATTTTTAAATTTAAGTCATAACAAAATTCATTCGATAAGGCACGGATTTTCTTGCTAAGGACTTTGGAAAATGTGCCAACATAAGGTAATTTAAAATAAAGTGATCGGTGTATCTTCTTAGTGTTATCCAGTGTAATTTTACATTTACATTGAACTGAATTGACATAACAAAAATAATTTGATCAATAAGGTATGAAGGAAAACAATTTCTCTTGAGGATGGTAGTTAATGCCTTGATATCAGAATGAAAGCCCCTCCAACTATTGTTGATAGCCCTATCAACTAACGTACGAATAAGACCGATTTTGTAACTGAACGAACAAAAACTGAAAAAATTTGTAAGTAACTCAGTATATGATTTTTTCCTAAAAATTGAGGTCTGAGGTGGCCCATCCTTAATGTTAGACACCAAGACGTCCAAGAAAGGAAGATTTTTCCCTACTTCTTTTTCCATGGTGAATTTAATGTTGGGATGGCGTGAGTTAAAAGTAGTCAATTAATAAATGAGCATCCTCTTCCTTATTGAAAACAAAAAATATCATCTAGATAACGTTGGTACAATAACACATTGGGACCCTTATACTGTTCATGCCAAATTTTCGTATGGTGTCCCATGAATAAATTGGCGAGAACAGGGGCTAGTGGGGAGCCCATAGCAACGCCGTCTATCTGGTCATAAAAAAAACTTGGTTATATATAATAAAATGTTTAAAACACTCTTTAATACCAATAAATCGGTTAAACAAGGCGGCCATTTTGAATTTCAAAAAATGGAGGCCCAAGGAGTGAATTAAAAAACTGGCACCCACTTTTTTCTTAATCAGTAGTGTTTTTAGAGTTGTTTTAACATAATTGCCAAGAATCTACCCAAAATTTGACTTTTTCTACATAAGACAACAGACTAAAACAGCAAAGTTCATTTTGCTGCGCATGGTGATACCATGCATGAGCAACCCCCCACCCCCACACACCCGGGTTAAAAAATAAAAGTAATTAATGTTGATTGGCATGAATACTAGGCCTACAGTTTCGTTGTTCAGACAACAAAATACTCTTGATGTCTTATTAGAAAACTACTGATGTATGTGATACTTTCTCACAATAGACCCTTATAGAAACACATTTTTTATGCAGAAATATTTTATATTCAGTACCGTAATGGTCAATGGTCATATATTTATATAGCGCCTTCCAAAGAAACCCGTCTCAATGCGTTTTTGAAGCCACAAGAAACAAAGACAAAAGAACGCAATGGGGGGAGGGGAGTGCGCACCTCCAATTTTGAGATAGCGTCGCCATCACTAACGTGTACACGCAGGTACCTCGGCGTAAGTTTGCTGGGCTCTGGTAGCTTCCACCAAGGATAAGCAATTTCTATTTCCTACTATATTTACCAGACACTAGACATAGTATATTATTGTTTATCATTGTAGTCCTAAAGTACATTTTTAATATTCAAAATAACAGTTATATCATGAAATTACCTTGAATACTTAAGAATTCAGCGTTGTTATAACACTAGTTTTCGAGCTGACTTTAAAGAAGAAAAAAGATATAGGCAAGCCTACCACACTACATTCACCAAATAGCACTGCGACAGTTTGCACATTCAGTATACCAACTTCCAACTATTACTTACACTTATAAATAATCCCTGATAAATACGTCATTATTCCTCATGCAACATCATTCATGCATATATTGTCTATTTTTAGCAAATTCCCCCAATGAACTCGTGATAATTTTATCTACCGTTTTCAAACTCTGTAAATAGTTGTCTCCATCAAGGGGAAAAATTCCATGGGTACATTGGATATATGGTTCACGACAGTGGCGTATCTTCGAAATGAGAGGGCCCCGCGCATCGTTGCTAAAAATAATAATCATTTTCCGGCTGATTTTCAGTACTGTCCTTATACAGAAAAAGTTGTTTTAATGCAAACACGCCCACATAATAGGGGGTAAATTATTAAACGGTGGAGTTGGTACGATGTGATGTGTAACCATTGGCGGCGGACGGGGAGCAGGCTTGTGGGTATGTCATTCTGCTTTGAAAACGTATATTTACATTCAGAAATTGCCATTTCAGGGAATCAGAGGTGTTTAAAATTTGCTCATCTCAGCAACAGCTTTGGTGGCATGTAGCTGAGGCAAATGTTAGACATTTTTGAGGGGTACTGGACTCTTTGTCAGGGAATTTCTGGCTCTGGCATTGTTCTTAACTACCGTATTTAGTACATGAAATGGATTTGTTTGTGCTCGGAAAGTGTTTAGTGGTACGGTAGGAGGGTGCAAGTTTTTTTTTTTTTAAATTCCTTTTTAACCGTTCCCATGCTCAGTTTTACAAAGTAAGGCCTGTCACAGTTGATGTTAAAAAAACAAAGGCTAATAATAGGCCTACCAGGTAGACTTGTAGGCCTGTACGCTTCTCTCAACAGGTTGTCTATTCTATAGCAAATTCCACAAATAAACTCTTTTGATCTTTATTATTTTATGCTACATTTTCAAACTCGTTGTCTGCATCAAGGGAAAAAACATATAATGGGGACATTGTATGTGGGGTTCACCCTAGTGCGTATCTAGGAAATGAGTTGGTCCCAGGTCGCGAAATAAAGTACAATGGCACAAATATTATGCATGGCTGCAAGGAGAGAGTAGTTTTATATACCAATTTCGGCATCACTATAAAGGGGTTTGGCCAAACCATAGAAACATCCCAGATTAAGGACCTGAGCCAGGAACCAGGATGATTCACCTTTTTGGTGGTTATAAACTAAGGTTTGCTAGTCATTTATTATATCTTGCTTCTGAATCAATGTATCTGGAATAAAGATGGTTATATACACCACAGGCGTGATGAGAGGGAAAATAGGAGACTGAATGGAGGATGTGATATTTTTTCATTATTCAAGTACCTAGGGAGCACAGGGGCCCAGTCCACAGTCCTAATTTCCGATTTCAAAATTAATGAGGACCAATAAAGAATTATTGGTTTAGTTTTTTATTTGGATTTATTTAATCAGTGATACCACGAGTTTACAAACTCCAGTGTTACGTACAATCTGGCAATGACGTCATAATAATCAGTGCCGGATTCAAGTTGGGCCGAGCAGACCCCCCCCCGCCCAAATTTTTCAAAATAAAAAAAAAAAAAAATTGAAAAAACCCCGGAAAATTATAATTAGAATTTAGGTCTGAGAGTGCCATTTGCGGCCATCAGGAGTGAATCATACATTTTCTTACCTCAGCCACAACCATCGTGGGGCTGAGGTGATTTAGTTTCCCAAATTGTGAAAGTTCCTCCCTGTCCACCCTCTATTTCACTTTCCTGGAGCTGCCAATGATAATGTTAAATTAAGTAAATTACCTTTATGTTTGTGAAATCAAAATGCCAACTAATGTTTTGTGTGCTTCCTATCTCCCTAGTACTGTTTGATCGTAAATTCTCCTTCTACCTTTAAATTAGATGGTAATATTTCCACTCACAATAGTGTAGTCGCAAAACTACTTGCACATAAGTAAAATTTAAAAAGAGGAGAAAAGGGAAACCTCTTGATTGATTTTAAAAGTACTGTACTGTATTCTTATGAATGTTAGTTTGCACAAAATATAATATAAGCGGGCATAATTACCAGGATAATTTAAAAAAAAATTATGATGAGTATTTCAGTGGCAGATTCAAGGGGCCCAGTGGAGTAGCAATACTACTTGCACAAAAGTGAAATTCAAAAAGGGGAGACAAGGAAAACCTCTGGATTGATTTTAAAAGTACTGTACATGCTAATCAGTAGATAATAAATAATAATTTTTTATCAATGTTAGTTTGCACGAAATATATAAGCAGGCATAATTATGATTACCTGGATAATTTTAAAAACTGGGCTCCTTGAATCTGCCACTAAAATAATCATCATCATAAAAAGTTATTTAAGTTATTTATTTGGGTTGTGATGTATAGGAAATAATTATAACATTATTTTATATACTACTGTAATATTTTATATAAACAATAAGAGAAATAAACAACATGAATGCAAAGTTTTTTTGGAATTTATACAAAAATATGTTAATATTATTAATGAAAGTAATAAATGAAACATTTTTCTTTGTATATGTTACACCATAAGTGTGATGTTTATTCAAATAATTTTCAATGTAATAATTGAAAGTTAAAAATTCAGAATTGATAGCCTTTCCTTGAAATAATAAATTGCCAAATTTTGGATCAACTATTGTAAAATCATACAAGATTATGGAATATTATTTTCCAACTGCCTGAAGAAAACATAAAATCTATTTACAATTTATACAAAACCATATTAAACAGCCTTTTAACTGTATAATCCAACACAAATGCTTGTATTTTCAGTTTATGTAAAAATCTCTGTTCACACAATCAGATTTGTATATCCAATTTGATATAAATTTCTGTTTACATGGATCAACCAATCCAGTTGCAAAGCAGTTGATATTAAAGATTTCACATATGAGTGTAACTGACTCAATTCCATGAACATGCCATGTTCACATGGCCCAGATGATTTCATTTGATAAGTCCTGTTCACATAGAACTAGAATACTTCAATGCAAAATGTTTGATAAACTTAAGTTCATGTTCTCACGGACATTTAAAATTTGCAATAAATTTGCAGTTATAACTCTTGTTGACACTGACAAAGACTGATAGATATCTGTTCTGAACAAGTAATGTCTCTCACTTAAGCCGGGTGCACACTGCGTTGGCTGACGAACCCATCTCTACACTGCGAGCTTTTGACGGGACACTGCCTGCTGATTGTCAGTGGCAGTCTGTGTCTCGCCGCTGTCTGCATTAAATTGTGTCGTGTGATGCAGTGTGTGCCTAGTTTTATGCAACTGGCAGTGGACCGACCATCAGTCTACATAGTGTATACCTGGATTTTTTTTTTATACAACAGGCAGTTTTCAGAAGTTCCTGTCATTTCAAGAATACATAAAAAATATTTGCAATGTCGACAAGTTTGAGGTTAACCATTCAAGGTAAAATGTCAAAACAAAACTGAGTTGTTACAGAATGTGTTCAGACTGCGTGTTTCTTACACTACAGCCACCGATACTTTGCGTGCGTCATTGAGGTGCTTTTAGTTGGTACTCAATCCGAGATGTCCATGTCAGAATTATCTTTATCGGAATCCAACTCCATATCACTGGTTTCTTGGCTATCCTCCGTCTCTGTAAAATCTGTATTGGAACCTCTGTAGAATAAATCAGAACTTGGCCTTAGAGGTATATAAACATATCTTTACTGTACTAGAAAAAAAATAATAGTAAAGATATATCAACATATATTTACTATTATTTTTTTCTAGTAAAATATATCTTTTTTTGGTTGCAACGCATTCTCACTATATATTCCTTAAGGTCACAGGTTATGTAATAATTTATTAAAAGTAGTAGTGGTAAATTCTGCCATGTTGTTTCCATTTAAAAAATACTTTTTTATATTTAAATGTAATTTAATATAATTTAATTCAAAAATTTCTTGATATTAATGTTTTACATTACAGTAGTGAGTAAACCCTAATTATAACACAAAAACTCGTACAGTTTTAGGACAAAAAAATACGTATTGGAAAAGGCAGCAGCATTAAATGTTAACAAAACAGAGTAGCAAGATTAATTAATGTAGACTACTGTAGCTAAATACCAAATTTTATAAGGCCTAGAGCTACTGTATATTAAGTATGATCAGTGAATATCAGTGACAAGTTTCAGGTTAATTATTACTAGATGATTATTCTGCAGTGTAATGACAACAAATACATTATGTAACAATTACACAAATCAGTAGTGATTTTGGTAGTCTATTTAAAAACAATTTCTTTATAGAAGAGCATTGCCAAAAGAACTTTGAACAATATTCATTCAACTAGTATCAACATTTGTCAAACAATATTAAACAAGAAACTTATTAACCAACTGTGGTCATAACAAATAAAACAAATTAAATTACCCTGGTGGAGGGGGTGGCATTGGTAAATTCAAAAGACTAGGTGGATGTGAAGGTTTCTTGACTGGAACACTTTTTTGCTGTTCACTCTTCTTCCGTTCCTCCCTTTCTAATTCAAACTCTTGTAGGACATTTTTCCATTGGACAGTTGTTGCATCAAAAGCACTCTGCCAACCCATTGGTTCCTGTACATCTGACTCTGAATCTTCCTTCAATCTTGATGCTTTCTCCTCATCGTTCGAAGTTTCCGCTTCTGTCGACCTCTCAACGTCTTCCTTTGAGGGTTTTTTGGTTTCTTTGGCGGCCTTTGGCAGCGAATGTTTTGTTGGGGTACTTTGTTCAGAGTCCTCCCCCTCAGACCTGCCAAAACCCTTCTCCCCCATTAAAATAGCAAGTCGTTCATCTAGGGGCACACGATGGTCAACTGGTTCATAATAAATTACATCTTCTTCAGTGTCATTATGATTTTGTTGTTCTTCTGGGCTAGCTGTTTTTTTATCAGCATTTTCTGTTTCAATTGCTTCCTTAACTTCATTTTCCTTCTCCAAATTTTTCTCTACTTGTATAATTTTAACCTCCTCTTTTTTCACTATTTCTTCCTTCACAATTTCTTTCTTGTTTTCAACTTTTTCAGGTACTGCTGGAACTTCTGTAAAATTTATTTAAAAAAATATGTCTGCATCAAAAAATTAATCTACTACCATGACTAATTTTGAGATTTTTTTTAAAGATAAAAAAGATATTAGACAAGCCATAATTGCTTGTTTACCTTGAACAACCTTTTTGCCATCTGTGACATCAGGTGATGAAGCTGTAGAGTTTGAATAACTTGTTGCTTTGAGGGATTCGACCAATGGTAATGTGGGAAGAGTTGGCATGGTTGATTCTAAGTTTGTAACATCTCCTTCTTGTAACAGGAACACAGACTTGAATTTGTTGTAAAGGTATTCAGCTTTCTGACGTACACGGTCATTGCCTTTGAATTTTCTTACCTAAAAAAATAATAACCTATTATTGTTACATTCTTGAACTATTATTTTCAATGTGTAAAGCTAAGACAAATACATAAATATAGTTTTAAAAAACTAATATTTGGGGAAACTGAAAATAAGTAAATAAAATCAAAGAATTTATCTGCGGCAAAGACTGAACCCAGTTTCTTGGTGCTGTAGGCCCAGCTGTATATCAACTACCTAGTTTAGTGTCAGCAGAAAATATACACTTAATGTACATAAACTAATCAAACTAAAATAAGAGTGAACAAGTGAAGAGTATTAATTTAATAAGCTCTCCCATAGTTTCACATCTACATAACTATGTCGAAGGTCAAGAAATATTAAACAAATTAAAAAATATATGTATTGTGTGCAATTCATAGAGGTTTATTAACAGTTTTTGAAGATTGGTTGATCAACTGGCTACTAACTACCATAAAGACCACCTACTGTTATGTAATAATGCTATTTAAAAATATGAATGATAGTCAAGTGAGTTTACACATGCCTTGACTTTGACAGCCACACGCTCTTAAAATCATTTAAGAGCAATCATTTTTAACCATTTTTGTTTATTAATCATTTTTTTGAGAGAAAAACAGGCCTCGTATATCTTTGAAGCCAGGCCCAATCTCGTACCTTTTTTAATGTCTGTACAAAATCTATATTCTTTTTTACTATAGCTGGCGTCAGAACAAAGGAGTCCACCTTGGTCATTATGCTGAGGCTCTTAGCAGGATCCTGTTAAAAAGCAAAGGAACATGCTCAAATATCACTCCACAAGTCTCATTATTTACGACTGCACCGTTAAAAATTTCTCCCTCATTCCAATTTTGCTTTATCAAAGAACACAAATGGCCATAAACTAATTTTTCATCACCCTTTTCTTAAAAAGAAAAAAGAAAAAAAGGTGAGTTTTTAAATAACTGTTTTAATCCATTCACTTTTAACTGTGTATATGTTTTGGTATTTTGAGAAACTGAATAAACTCAATCAATCAACTACCAACTTCTACAATTAATTATGCTTCAGAACTTGATAAGGAAGACAATGATTAAAAATGATGGTAAAAATAAAGACAACTGATAAATGAATCTTGAATAGTTCTTACCGGACTTTCAAGTCTAAGTGACTGTTTCAATTCAACATGGAGCTTACGGATGGTCAATTCAACACTGGTGGGGGCTGAAGAAATATTGAAAACAAAGAAAAAAACAAAGTGTGGAGTGCAGTTATGACAACAATGACACAATAATAGAATAACAATATTTATAATCATTATTAGTATATCAACAATAAATAGAGTTCAATTTTAAAGCCAAAAATAATTATGGAAAACAATATCATCTTTATTATGTTATTATTAGTGTTATAATATAACACTAATAACTAATAATATGATACTAATAACAGTACAGTACTAGTCTCCAAGTTATTTATTAACAAAACAAATATGTAGTAGAGTGCCGACGAATATAATGCTCATAGTAACAAAAACTATAACCCTAAACATAATACATAAACAACTATTTTCACCAAGTAGGACCATTTTCCTAGATTGCTTTGCAAAATGATTTGAGGTGGTGTTTGTCATGAATGGTGTGGCTCTGCAGTGCTATAAATCAAGGAAAAACAAACCTTTTTTCTTTTTTTGGTCGCTTGATTGTTGATCTTTAGTTATCCTAAAAAAAAGAAATTAACCAATACATTAGTGGTTTAGTTAGTTTTCAATGAATAAATGAATCAATTTATTTCTACATCAACATATCAGTCATTCAATCAATAAAACAATTATTCCATTAATCAATCAATCAATCAATCAGAAAGACATCATTTACCCATTTCCACCCTGAAAATAGCAGCTATTAATGTCATGGATTCTCATATTTGTTGATATAATTCACAATGGTGTATTTTTATTTTCTATATAATACACTTCTCACTGATATCTAAATAAAAAAATGGAAGAATGTATACATAAATATTAGAATAAAAGAATTTTATCCAGTCATGGGGATCAGCCAATAGGCGACCAGCACCTTTTATTGAGCTCCTATTCATTTCACATAGGAAATAAGCAGCTTTATAATTATGGTATGGGTGCACACCAATCATCTCATGACTTTCCGGTGAAGTTATTTGCCATACGGTTGGCATGTTTTCACTTGAAGTTACATAATATATAGGGCAAGTAAGGATAGAGAAGGAAACAAATTGTATTCCTACTTTTTAAAGTTTAATGGTGTTCACAATTAACAATCAGACATTGCTCTACAAAAACTTATATAGCACTTTTTCAAAAAAAAAAAGAAGAAGAGTAATACCAGTACACTGTTTTTAGAGGTTAGCACCTCCAGCAACACCGATTATGTATGTCATTATCAGGTAGTCTATAGTCCAAAGATCAAAAGAGGAAAATAGCTTGGAAAAGAAAAGAAAATTATTGCAAGGAAAACTTACTCAGCATTCTTTGAATTCAATGCCTCTGCCTTCTTTTTATTTTCCAATTCTTGCTTTGCCTTCTGCAACACAATCAGATAGTCAATGTGAATAAGTACCTACTAAATTTTAAAGTCAGGCTCTGGAGGGAAAGAATTTTTTGGTATTTTGTAGAACTGATTTTTCTACGACAGAAAAAAATTGTTTGATGAAAATCTGGTGAATAAGATATTTAAAAACTGGTGAAAAAGCCTCCTTTATACTGTTTCCAAGTTTTTCGTCAAACACCTTTTTTTCGTCTTAGAAAAATCAGTTCTACAAAAGCCTGTCTTTAAATTCTTATTACTGATGTTTCAAACATGCTTTTCATGACATTCAGGAAAGTACAACACATGCTCTCTTCTGTGACACACCCCCTCCCCACTTTCCTAAAAACACCTCAGCCACCACACACGTTTAAACCTCTGTCCGCACTATCAAATTTTATGCGACAAATAAATGTGATATGCCCATATTTGGGTGTAATATGACATCATCATGCCTATATATGGGCATGTCACATAAAATATGATGAGTGGACAGAGCTTCATACTCACTTGAATATTACAGATAATCCTTCATCATTCCTGAAACTAACATTTCTGTGTGAACTTATAATCACATTCCACTCCACATTCAACCACCTCTCAAGCTTTCCCTAATTATTTTATCCACATTTACTCTTTCCTCATGTACATGTAAAAGAGCTGCCTCTTTTTTTTTAAACATAAATAAAACATTACAAAATAAATTTAAAAAATGAAATAAAGTAACAGCAAATGCACAGAAATAACACAGAGAAAATATAAAATAATAAATTTAAAATATCTATTTAATGTTAACTTACTGCTTGTTCTTCAGTGGCTTTTTGTTTTTCTAATTGTTTCCTTTTCTCCTCAGCTTTCCTCGTTTCTTCCTCTTTTTTCCTCCTCTCCAGTTCTTTTCTCTTCTCTTCCTGCTTTTTCTTTAATTTCTCACCCTTCTTCCTTTCTTTTTCTTCCTGTTTCCGTTTTTCTTTTTCTAATCGCTTCTTTTCTTTTTCCTCCTTCTTTTTGCTTTTGTCAAGTTCTTTATTTTTCTCAATTTGTTCTTCATCCTGTGTGTTGCCTGTTTTTTCTTTAGTATCGTCTTCTGATTCTTCTTTTATCTTATCAGGTTTTGAATCTTCAACATCATCCTCAGATTCTTCAGCTTCATTATCTGACTTTTCATCTTCGCTTTCTTGTTTATCTTCTTCACTTTCAGATTCTTGAATAACTTTTTTTGTAGCTTTGCTTTTAGCCTTCTCATTTTTTACCTTAGTAAATTTCCCTTTCTTAGTTCTGTTTTGTTTTTTCGTTACTGTTGGCTTTTCTTCTTTATCAACTAACCCATCATCACTATCTCCCCCACTTTTTTTCCTCTTCTTCTTTTCAAGTTTTTGTTTCTCCTCCTCCTCTTTTTCCCTATTCCTTATTCTGATTTCTTCTTCTTTTTCTTTTTTAAGCCTTTCTTCTTCCAGTTTCCTCTTTCTCTCTTCATCCTTTTTCTTCCATGAAGAAACTTTTTCTTCGTTATCACTGGAATCACTGGATATGGATGAAATGCTACAGAAAAATAAATTCATAAATGATATAAATAAATGTGCATCATAACAGAAATAATTAAAAAGCTTTGCAAGTTGGTTATTCCAGGCCATTTTATGAAGCTGTTTACACTTGTGTACACAGAGCATAGACAGCTATCACAATTGCTTATTCGCAGCTATTTGCATAGCTGTTTACTTTCTTGGTCAGTAAGCTATTTGTATCAATGTATCTATTGTTTAACATATATTTAACACTGGACTGTAATGTTCTATCCTTAGTATTGTTTTATAATCTTTTATACATTTTCTAAATCACTGTTGTATTTTGTGCATATATATTTGTTGTAAACATTTTTTGTAGATTTTTATAATGTTGAATGACCAGATTTTCTTGTTTGGTATAATATGTTTAAATATGAGGACTTCCTCAAAGATGGAAGTACTGATCAAGAACAAAGGAATAGATGGATATATGCTGGATGACTACTTGTGGGCTATGCACAATACAGTGAATGTTAATTTTCTAGGCCAAGGCCCTGTTAGGTATGATGATACTAGACACAAATGTTACTTGCAAGTGTTGCTCACCTGCTCATACTGTCACTAGACCCTCTCCGTACCGGCTTAGCAACAGCTCTGGGTTTAGCTACTTTACTAGTACTGTTTCGCTTCGTCTTAGGTGCTAACGAACATTATGAAAGAGACAATAAAAATAATGAATACAAAAATTTAATGTTCAAATTATTGCTCAAAACAAATATCTTTAAGATTAAGTGAAGAACTAAACTTCCTAATAATACCTCCACCCTCATCTAGTGATCCCTCCTCCCCTAGGCCTTCATATGTCACATTTACCTGGCTTTTTCTTTGCCTTTGTTTGTGGAGATTTTTTCTTTATTTTCTGTTTTGTTTTTTTAGGAACTTCAACTTCACTACCGTTGTCATCATCTTCTTCACTTGAACTTATCTTGGCATTCTCTTCATCCTCCTCATCTTCTTCACTTTCAGTATCAGGTTTCGATTTTCTCTTTCCTCTTGTTGTCTTCCTCGCTGATGTCTGTTTCTTTACTGGTACAAAATCCTGCAATTAAATATGATTAGATAATAAGACCAATCCATATGATTTCATTATATCCAACAAGTTTATGCAATGAAGAAAAAAAAAATCATGCATGTACCTCATCGTTTGAGGACTCGGCATCTGGAGTGGTACCGGCGTCGAAGTCCTCTTCAGCATCACTATTGTCAGCCTGTACTTCCTCTACGACGCTTCCTTTGCTGCTAGCTTGCGAGCCTTTTCGTGCACGTTTCTTTCCCTGGATAGTAATAATGAATAATTAGTTTATCTCATGTTCATCATCATCAAGAATGCCTTTCATCTCCTGACACTGCGCACATCACTGTCTCTGTCCATCTCTTGTTCAATAAATTACCTAAGCCACAATGTTACAAAATAATAATTGCCTAACTTTGTGTCACAGCAATCCAATCAGATTTCATTTGAAATGTAATATACCTGTTGTTTATACAAGTAGGTTTTAATTCAATTTTGATGTATGAACTCTTTCAAAACGATTTTAAATTAGGATATTTTTAATGGTTTTCTTTCTTACTTATAACCTGTCTCTTATACACATCTAGATGTGTATAAGAGGATGTTTCATGTATAAATGCCTATAGGTCAACTCTCTAATTACGATGCAATATATAACAATACTGTAGAATAACTGTTTTAATGTGTCTGTTACATTCTTTTTCTTCTAATTTTTACGAGCTTTGTCAATGCAACAAATTTCCTTTTGGACCAATAAATTTTTCAGTTAGTATTCAGTATACATTCTGCTTTTCTTTATGATTGCATTTTATACTTTTATTCCAAGATAAAATATATATAAAATGAAAATAAAGTTATAAAACATAGTCTTTCTAATCTTAAGATGATTTTTATCATTGTAGCATTGTAAATAATAAAAAACAAAACAAGTTAGCATTGCACACTCTACCTTGCCACTATCAGCTTGTGATGCCCTGCGTTTAGTTGCTGTCTTCTTCGTTTCCTAAATATAATTATAAAAATAGTATTTAAAAAATGTTAAAAATACACGTATTTGTTAATTTAGAATAAATTCTTGGTAGGTAAATTCTGTGTACTGTACCAAAAAAAAATAATGTTCTGTATCTTAAAATTGGGGGGGGGGAGGGGGGTGCTGATGGGGCGCAAAGGTAAAACAGGCGCTACCTTGCAAACAATGATGATGAGGTGATTTGTTATCTACTTCGTCTTGGAATGATTCTATATAATAATATATTAAAAACACCTCCTATTGTTGAGGAATTTTATGGAACTATAAATATAAAAAAAAAAATAGACAGACCTTTTTAGTTTTATTAATGATAGGCTCAGAGTCATCACTATCCTCTTCCACTTGCTGCTCCTCAACTTCATCATCATCCTCATCATCCTAAAACAACAAGTATAATAAAGACAATATCAAGAAATGATTAGCAATTCTCATAATGGCAGTTATAAGATAATAAGTAATAACTTACATAACAACAACAATAATAATTCAAATATTATCTGACAATATACTTGATACTACAATGTATAAGGATAAAGAGATAAAAGCAAATGTTCTCCTATATTAGAAGCAGCTACTGTACAAAATTATATCTCTGAAGTCATCAAACAAACAGAAGTGGGCTTGGTGCATCAGCTGATGATAAGCTAAAAATTAAATCTAGACACCATGGAAATGGAAGGCAACATTGCAATAGAAAACATGGAAAATGAATTGCACTAATTGAAATCATGGAAATGATATATCAAAAGATACGGCAAGAGTAGTATATATCAGCTAATGACAGCTGGATACTTTAAATCTACTAGTACATGCAGCTTTTTTCAAAATACATACCTCACCATGGAATTTAACTTTTGGTTTATTTTCTATCTCCCACAATCCCATGTTAAAGGATTGATAGCGCTTGTTTGGTTTTCCATATTTTTCCTTGAATTTTTCATATGCAAAAAGATCTTTTGGAAGCATAAATGCCCTGAAAAAAAGTATTAGAATAAAAAAAAAAACAATAATTAGTGTAATTAAATTCGTTTTATAGAGTATTTATTCATCTATTTTTAGGATGTAAAGTGTATTGTCAAGAGCTAACAGGCATTACTGATTATTAAAAAATTTCAGTTATTGTAGTAACTTCACCAAATATGAAACAATCCAGCATTTTAGGTTTGAAATCCAAGGTTCTATGGGCAAAACCTCCCACTTAAAGTCAGGCTCCGGAGGGAAAAAATTGTTTGATATGTTGTAGAACTGATTTTTCTAAGACAGAAAAAAGTAGTTTGATCAAAAACTGAGCAACGGTGAATGAGATACAGATTTTGGAATATTTAAAATCTGGGGGAAAAAGGTGTAAAAATGGGCGGCTACGCCCCTTTTTCCCCCAGTTTTTAAATATTAAAAAATCTGTATCTCATTCACCATTCCCTAGTTTTTCGTCAAACAACTTTTTTCTGTCTTAGAAAAATCAGTTCTACAACAGTTTCCTCCGGAGTCTGACTTTAATCCCATAAAACTCCGAATGTATTTTTGTAACAAGGAAAACAATTTTTATGACTTCATGACAATACAATTTATTCTGATTCAGAATGATGTATTTTATTGAATGATTCCAACTTGTATTTATTGAACATGCTGTGGGATGGATGTTGAAAAGAAAAAGAAAATAACTCACGTTTCATGTGTACCATAGAAAAACACAGGAAGCTTCCCCCCTGTTGGCTTTACTCCTCCTTCCTGTATTTCATCGATCTACGAAAAAAAACAAAAACAAACAAACATTTGAGAGGTTTCGCATGGGAACAAACTTAGCTATCCGTAACGGTTTGTAGCCATGCTGTGCCTTAGGCCTAGTATAATCCGGTTTCTTCTCTCATGCTCACTATTCTTCTCAAAATCAGATTTTGGCGTGGCCTAAAGTTTTGGTATGTAAGGTTTTGAAAATTGGAAGTGGTAGCCGAATAATACTCCTTCCCTTCTTGCCCAGAAGAGTTGTTATTTTGTGACCCAAAAAAATGCCTGGCTACTATATAAGCTCGGACAAGGCCTACAAGAAAATCCTGAAACCACCAAGCACCAATGTTTTTTAATATCCCAAAGTGAGATGCATCCTATTGTAACTTGCTGTCTTCAAAAGTCACAAAAATGACATGTGCATATTAAGGATACACATATATTTAAAACGTACTGTAAAATGTAAAAAAAAAAAAAAAAAATGAATATCGTACTAGAAATCCATTATTTCTTCTTAGCATTCCTGCGTGTAGTGAACGAGATATGCGTGTCATCCACATGGTTGGCAGATAGCAAACGGCATAAGACATCATAAATGATGACATCCGTCACACTAACTGTATGCGTTCACATGCGAAGCCTCCCTATTGTCATTTTTATCCAACTAATACAGTATTTGAGTTTTATTAGCATTTAATTGAATTTTAAAAATTACAATAAACTATTTTCATCATCAATTGACAGACATATAAAAATGAGATTCTTCTTATTGTGTATCTTTGTAATTTTTACGTGGATAATAGCCCTTGAAGGCTTGTGTAACAATATAATTCTTGAATCCTTTCTCTGCAAGACCATTACATTGCCGGTAGCTGATAATGGATATCTCATTGGAAGGTGATAATGGACCTTCTGGAATGTCAATCAAACTCAACAACTGCCAATCAGAATAGTGCCACGAATACGCGCGTGTCTAAGAAGCACACATGTTGTCCCACAAACGCACATGTTCGTGTATGTTTTAATCATAGAGCTATTAAAGTTAGTGCTCAGGCGAAATCTGATTGGCTGAATCTATGGCAGCCATCTTGGATGGTACACACACACAGCTCTGCGTATTTCGAACATCGAATACATTGGTGTTAGCGCTCTAGTATTCTTATTATATCTCTATGGTTTTAACACTTTTGTCTTATGCGACCTTAGCAACAATATCCAAGGGGCGGGGCTAAGCGGAAGGCTCATTATGTGGTTTGTATGAGCATGGACCCATGTCTATGGTATGAGTAATTAGGCACTTTACGCAACAGGACGGCAAGACGGGTGGTTTTGTGCTCATCAGAGATTGAAGGCAACGTAAACAATAGGACGCTTACGTAATCCGAATTGCCATTCTCGACGGCTCCCCGTCCTCTTGCGTATAAAGTGCCTATTAATTGTATTATCCAGTGTTCTCCCAACTGAACAATACTGGTGTAAATTCGTCTATCCAGCTAAGCGCACGCACCGCGAGGCATTGCCACTTTCAAGTGGAGTTCAATGGCTGCAAAAAACAATAATACATAATCATAGCCTAGGCCTGGACTGGAATGATGTTCGTTTACTGAAAGGACAGCCTAGGCTACCTAGGCCTAATATTAAGTATTTTTTTATTCTACCAACACACAATTTTTTATTGGTTGGTCAGTTATTTTTACTGGTAAAATTGACGGCTAAAACGGCTTCAGGAGAACACTGTTATCTGTATACAGTATCTGTAAGCTCACCACCCCACCTTCCCAGCTCCCTCACAAAAAAAACAAAAAAAAAAACAAACAAAACTCTAACAGAAAAAATTTTTAGACCCCATAAATTTTTCCAGATTACTCCCTTAAAGTACACCACAATACATATATTCTAAGATCACTTACTCTTGCAGGCCAATAAGGCCAACCCTTCATCTTTGCAAATATTTTCTCGCCAGGTTGAAATGTTTTATTTGTCATACTTCAGTCCAGGACAATCTAGGATTGAAAAGAAAATAACATAAAAATATACACATTATGTTACATTAGGCAATGTAAAAAAAAATAATTGGTTAGCAACCCATCAGGGAGCCCAAGACCCGATTTTTTTTTTATACGTAAAACACTTACCAACTCCATTTAATATAGGTTTATTTACCCCCTGTCCGCACACTAGCCAAACTACTTGCAGTTATATGCTCTACTTTTGTTCTATACTGTAGCCACATGGCATCACTGATGCCTGTTGTGTTGGAGTGAATTTTGCGTGCGTGATTATATAGAGATAATTGCATTATGACTGCTATTCATAGGTAAAGTTTCTGTTTTCTATAGATGAATTACATAATTTCTTGTATGCAATTTTGGTCTCTGTTGTTTTCTTCTTTTTTGTTTTGATGTTTTTCCTTGCGAAAAAAAAACAAAAAAAAACCTCCCTCCCTAACATGAAAATTGAAAACATAAGGATGCTAACCAATTTTTTAAAATTTTACCTGGCCTTATTAAATATTATATATCTTTCAAGATTTCTTTACTTCGTCATATGAATACAAGTTAATGATACACATGAAATTTGCTTTCTAGAGTGTATGCTATATGTAAAATACTGTACAGAAATATAGGACAATAGACCTCTCTGGAGTGTCAATCAAACTTAACAACCGACCAATCAGAACAGTGCCAGGAATACACGCAAGTCCAGCAAGCACATGTGTTGTCCTGCCTAGAAATCCGTCCACGCATTTCGGAAAATATGGGCTGTTTTCCGCAGACTTTACAGAAAATTAGGCTTTGACTTAATCTTAATATATAAACAATGTATTTATATATGTAGAAGTTACGATTCTGCGCACCAGTTTTCATAGCAATTTTCCGCGCGAATTTGCACTAGTTTTTGAGGTATCATCCACGCAATCAAAAAACTTTATAGTAGGGCTACTACTAGTACTACTAATATTATTTTAGCCTTAGTTAGGGCCTAGGCATATCCTACCTACCTCTAGCTCTCACTTTAGACTGGACCAGCCAGTGGTCTAGCCTAGGCTGTTCTCTAGGCCCTAGCCTATAATATACACGTAGGCCCACTCTGGACCCTAGCAATTTCATGCATTATTAGTGGCACAGGCCTATATATAGGCTTGAGCCTACCTACTGTAGGCCCTAGGCCTAAAAAATACTAAGCCTTAGCTAGGCTAAATTAGGCTCTAGGCCTAGGCTAGGCCTATTATATTAATAAATAAGACTAGGCCTAGCCTTACCTTAGATCTATCCTCTCCACTAAACAGACTAATTAAAGGAGAAACTAGTCTAGTGAAATCGTAAATGGTTAGACCTAGGCTAGGCTAGTGCTGTCTACGCCTAGCCTAGTGACAGTATATCCAATCAAAAACCGCCGAGTGTGGCCAATCCTGTTTGGCTAAAAAATCGCGCCAACATCAACACACAACAAACACAAGGGTAGCCTAGCGTTAACTTAAAAAAAATGTATGGCTTATTTGCAATATTATCAACAATTATATACTAAAAAATAAACGTCAGTTATTAAAATATCCTTAGGATCCAATAGTGAAATGTGCATGCCTCAAAAACACTCCCAAAAACTGATGAACAACGACGAATTGTGTCGATATTGCTCAAATTTGCAAAAGCAATTCTACCATATTGGATATTGGTAAATAACGTACAGCTAGCAATAATGAAACCGGACATTTGGACAGAAAAATGTTGCTATACATTTCCAGAGTGAACAGCTTCTAAAATGAATAGACATGTTATAAGAAATATGTAGTTAAACTCCTCTGTCTGAATTATTTTGACTTTGACTTCGAATATTTATTAATATAGTTCTATCAATTTTTCTGTCATGAAATTACTTTCGTATTTTACAGCATGCACTATTTTCTTGTTACAAAAAATATTGGGGGCGCTAATTCGTTCTAGCTCTCTACATCCATCAAAATCACAAACTGCTAACTGACTTCAAAGAGAAAGGGGGCTGGTTTTTTAAGCTGCTTCCCGAAATCAACAGTAATTTTACAAGTTGCAAGGTCTGGACAATCGATTAAACTTTGTACTGGCACTTGCAATTTTGTCGTAGTAAACAACGTTCACATTAACAGCTTTCTTTCATCTATGGAAATACTCTACTGCGTGTGATTTTACAGTAAGTTTTAAAGGATTCTGCAGGCTGCATAAGCATTGACACACGGTATTTACCTTGCATAAAAGCATAGGCTGCACTGTGATTTTTTTGCACCTCTTAATCAAATTACTATCAATCATCATTCTTGAGTTGTTGATAGTCGCCGATTATCCCGAAAACTATTGAATTTAACCTACCATGGGCCAATGCTTACTTTGATTTTTGATAAATAAATAGTGATGCAGTTTGATCTAAGTTAATTCCAAAACTACTATAAATTACTCAAAAAAAGTAAAGAAGGAATATTTTTTTCCTCAGATACAGCGGTTTACAGTATAGAAATGGAGGGAAGGGAGGGGTGGGGAAAGGGGTTCTATTGGGGCATAATGTTTAGGTGGGAGGGCTCGACCAGTGAGATGTAATTTTACATCTCCCTGGCTTGACGATTAGTTGATTTAACTATGGGCGTGTTTCTGCTGAATGAATAACGGCAAAAACACATGTTTTTTATAAACGGCCTTCTGAACGCGTTTCTAGTGAAAAGTGCAACTAATAAAAATACAGTAATGCAAGCATTAGCAGGTGGGCGGAGCTTAAATGACGGTCGCCAACGGAAGTTGAAGCTGACCTTACTTCTTGCGAGCCACAGCACATGCTGCGAAAGAAGTAAACAATACACCATGAAAGTATGAAAAAAGTATGGTATGATCTTCAAGCATGTCATCCTATTGGTTTAATTTTTTTCTTTGCGCCGAATTTCCTGCGGACGAGGGATCAAACCAATGAAGAGGTGAATTTGGGTCACCGACGGGACATGACTAACAGGTCTACATAATACCAGTTAGTTTTCAAGTGCCTGTGTCAGAAAAACACTTTGATGCACAGATATTTGTGTCAACACTCTTTCCCCACCTCCTCCCCCCTTGGTGGCAGCCAGGTAAGGCTCCTTCATCAAACAGGCCTGGACCCCAATCATCCAAGGCCATGACAAAGTCATTGGACCAAAATATTAATTTGCCTATCCAAATATTAACATTATTTTAATTGATAGTCCCTAATATTGTGGTCTAAAAGCTCATACTAATCCATAAAAAAACTTTCCCTATTATCCCAAAAATTTTCATTCTGGGACCCTGACTGAGGCTTAGTTGGCCCCTTGGTTCGGACACCACTGTCAGATCCCCTTTCGCCAGATTTATGGATCCATCACTGCTTCCCCACCAAAGCTCAGAAGAGGTTGAAACACTTCAAGCACCGTCCATCCTTGTCAGAGGGATTTCAGAAGTCAGTAAGAACACTCACATCCCTAGTCAGATACACAATCCCTTGAAGATTATGTAACCCAGTTTTGAAGTACTGTTATGGCATTAGTTGGCCTTCTTATAGATTTATTTTTGACAGAATAATAGATTAGAGCCTTAGAACAAGAGTTGCCAACATATTACAACTATTTAAAAATTATTTTTTTATTGCAGTTCACTACAGTTTTTTACTGGGGTGCATCATTAGAACACTACTTGTCTTGTATAGTTCTGCTTCTTCCATTCTATTGCAGACCACCTGTCGGTGTATTTTCTTACTATAATGGATGAGAACAGGGGCTGTAAGATGGGACAGTACACCAGGGTAACCCCTACTCATCTCATACGATGCACTGGGTTCTTTAAAATGCACTTGAGCCAATTATGTACACTGGGCCTAAGAAGACTTGCTCCACCTCCAGAGCCATACTGTAGGTGAGCGTGTCGTTCGAACCAGCGCCGATATTATGGCTGTAGGTTAGGAGCCCCTGCCTTAACCGCTCGACCATTCGACGTGAGTTCCTCAGGCATACCCAACTCCTGCACACTATAAGCCCATCCCCCTCCCCATCCCCCCATATAAAGCTGTTAACATCAACTATTATTATCCAGGCGCAAAACTTGTGATGTTTGAAAACATATGATAGAGAAAAAGATTAAGTTTAATAACTTTCCAACTGCCTCTTATGTTGGAGATAATATATTTTTTTAACAAATAATTTTTAACTTGAACATGGCAGTAGATAATTTATAAAATAATGTGCGAAATTTGCTTGTGGGTGTTCTTTAATTATTCTACCAGGAATATATTAATAGAAAGAAAAACTTTGGCTTTGGAGCCTATCGGCAATGAATATGAAATATTTTGCCGTTGGGCATTCAATTGAAAAAGATCAGACGTACATTATGGTGTGATTAATTTTCCTTGAAGTGCTATTAATTTGAGTTTTAACATATTAATGTTTTAAGTACACGTGCACAAAGGATAAGGTACATTTGTTAATCCATCCTGTTTAATTAAAAAATATTTCCACAAATATTGAAATTATTACAATTAGGTATAAATCATTTGATTTGTTGGCTATAATTATAGTGTACAGTAGGCCTGCAGTACTGTAAATGCATGGTTTACTTTTGTGTTACTGTATGTGCTCTAGGCTCTTCTTTTTTTAATTGGCACCGCATCAGTAATATAATAATAATAATGTTAATTGTAATGGTAAAGGTAATTAGTAATAGTGCCTTGAGCACTACTGCAGTGGATTTGTGCGGTTTATAAATCTTATTATTATTATCATTATTATTGTTATTATTATTATTATTATTAGTACCAGGTAGATTAGTCACCATTCCCTGACTATAGTGATCATAATACATAGTAAATAGAACATTTGACATCATGACAATAATTTATTTAACAATAATGGTGATGATATGATATTGATAATCTTAACAAAAATACTGGTAATAATCAATGATATACAATAACAAACAATATGAAGAATATAAAAAAAACAACAAAGAGCTTTTCAGCTTTGAGGCTGGAGGTTCAATCTCTCGCTGTGTTTTTCGCTTGTGTCCTTGGGAAAAGCCCTTTATGTAGGCCTACTGTTGTCTCTCTTCACCCAGGATAATGAGTGGGTACCGACAGTATTGGTTTCGGAAAGAAAGTCACTGATTACTAACTAGCTGCAAAATTATTATCAAATTCTTTCCAGGGAGCTGAGTTAGTGCTCTGGTGCTTGACCTGATGAGCTGGGAAATAATATTAGTTTTTGGGGAAATTTTTTTTTTGCTTGCGGAATTGCACAAAATGCTGATTGTTATTATTGTTATTGTATCATTTACCATCACAACACAAGATATTTAAGATGTTTTTTTTTTAAATTTTGTTATAAAATAAATATAAAAACAACTATTTAATATACTGTACTAATATTAGAAGTTTCTGAATTTAAATATTGCTTGGAATTAAGTGTACTGTAAGACAAGCAATGTTATGATTAAATGTATTCATTTATTTGATAACCACAATGTGTTGATTGAATTGGTTGTTCAGCAAAACAGAATAAGTTAGCCTAACAAATTTTTGGTTTCCATCAGTCTGGTGATTCACGTTGTCGTGCAGCAATCAATCCACAGTGCATGCTGTTCAATCCAGTGCAGTAACTGTGAAATACACTTTGTTTTGATTCTAGGGAGAGATATTCTTTGTTGCAATAATCAGTGATGTTTAACTAATGAGTGCGTTACAGTATTACAGTGAGTGAATAAGCTAGCCCTTTAGGCGAGACATTCATTACTGTGCGGTATATACTTGGCTTTGCAGCCTGTCCCCCACAGATAATGTTGATGGTAATTAAAATGCATTGAGTAAAAGCATCAATCTTATTACTGAACTTTTTACATCGCTACATAGGACCACACCATAGGACCTGAAATGAGGGCCTACTGTACAGTATGAGCTCCATTTAATACTGTAGTTTCCTTACTTCTACATATACAGTACCACTTTTACTGTACTGTACTCAAATTGGGATGGTAATGCGAGTACCACTTTTACTGTACTGTACTCAAATTGGGATGGTAATGCGAGTACCACTTTTACTGTACTGTACTCAAATTGGGATGGTCATGTGAGTACCACTTTTACTGTACTGTACTCAAATTGGGATGGTAATGCGAGTACCACTTTTACTGTACTGTACTCAAGTGGATGGTCATGTGAGTACCAATTTTACTGTACTTTATAGTGGGATGGTAATGTGAGTACCACCTTCACTGTACTGTACTCCAAGTGGGATGGTAATGTGAGTACCACTTTTACTGTACTGTACTCCAAGTGGATATTCATGTGAGTACTGTACCACTTTTATTGTACTGTACTCCAATTAGGATGGTCATGCGAGTACCATTTGTATTGTACTACTACGTGTATGGACAATATAGGTAGATGGTATTGTGCATATCATTTTTTTTAGAAGTGGGATATCATATGAATACCACTAGTGGAATGGTCATGTGAGTACACTTTTACTGTTTTAAAGTAGAATCATGTGAGTACCACTTTTTATGTTTTAAAGATGGTCATGTGAGTACTCTCTTACTGTTTTCATTCATATATTTTATTTATTGTAATTGTACAACAAAATGAATACAGTGAAATTGAGTTGGCTCATGCAAAGCAAGTGAAAAAAGGATAAGATAAGACTAGAAATTGCAAATTGCAAGTGAAGTGCTGCGAAGTACAACTGCATATATATGTTCTTCGAACAAAATTATTTATGCGAGTCAAGTGAAAATAACGAATAATAAAAATATAACAAATAATATGAGACACGACCCATTGTCTATATTAGAACAGCATTGGTACCGTGTACAATAGTGTTTTGCTGCAGCGACATCTCGCTGCTGCTGGCGATGACTCGCTGCTGGCGAATCGATCTGCGCATATGTATAAAATGTTATTTATTACCGAAAACACTGTGTATGCCAGTCTACAACAAGCGTCGCCTAAATGTAATAATTAGCACGTTGAAATAGGCTAGCAAATAAGTTTAACTGGGTTCGTAAATAATATTGGCCTCAAAATATTGTGGCTGAGACATGGGCCGATTGAATGTAGAAATAGGAAACCTAGAAATATAGTAAAAACGCTGAATAGTAATACTCCAGCGTCGCGACATGCGGACGTTGGTACGGGTAGGGTAGTCTTCAAAC